AGCAGTTGCGGGGATAAGTCACAAACCTTAATTTATATTCTTCTTCTTCTTCTTCTATGGCGCGACAGCCCGAAGTCGAGCCTTGGCCTCCTTTTAATTTCTATTAGTCTATACAGATTTACGTGTCTCAATATCTTATGTGAATAAGCCTAAGAAATGTAAGTTTGTGACCTTATAACAGAATTTCAGGTACGAAATAGCGTACCCTGGCAAGTAGGTAAAGGATCATAGGAGCGACATATGCTAGAGTCAGATATTTTATTGCTTGCTATTTTCATTATATAAATTCATAATTCGCACATTGTACCATATTTTATTAAACTTGAAGGGAAGAAACCTTTTAGCAGACTTAATGTAAATGAGGTTATAATATTAAAATAGATCTTAAAACAAAAATAATTGAATAGGATGGACTGGATTCAATTATCTGAGGACCCGTGTGAACAGAGTGACTATGAGCGTCTGAATAGAGACTATAGTCCATGGTGTTGAACGACGTTCTTAAATGACTCATGAATAATGCAAATCTGTACAATATGTGGCTGGCTTCTGGCTTACAACTTATTTTCATCTCGGGGCCCACCTGTACGTATGTGTCATCCACCACTGCATATTTACAGTGGGCAATGTTGGAATAGAAATAAAGTAAGGACAAGTGAGGAAAGGTAGAATGGTGACCAACTATAAGATAGCTCCATGGAGCAGAGTCCTTCTTGGAAGGCTGGTTTACTTTTATGAAATCGGAAGGTTCATTACCGTGTTGACAAAAGCCCGCCAGTAATCCCTGTCATGAGCTAGATGAAAAAGTTCACACCGCCCCATCCTATTTCCTTAAGGTACATTTTAATATTATCCTCCAAACTACGCCTAGGTCTTCATGGAAGCACGATAAAAAAGAGAATGGAAGAATGAGAAAGAAGGAAAATATAAAGAACAGGAGAAAATATATGAAAGAAGAAACTAGAAAGGAAGACAGAAATGGAAGAAAGGAAAGTACGAAATGAAGAACAAAAGGATGAAATAAGTTTGGAGGAAAGAGTTAACCATTTGAAGTAGTATGAAGTTTATCTAAATAATATTTAAGGAATCAATTCTTACACCGAAGAAACCACAAGTCTCCATTATGAACATCCGTTAGTTAAAGATGACGCTGTTTATTTTGAGAATCACATAAAAGTCATAATTAAGATCTGACAGCAAAATGCAGAGTTAATAAATAATAAAGTAGGTGACGTCTGTATTTACCACAGCGTTCTAAAGAGTCCACGAAAAAAGGAAAAGAACGTCCCCGGCTCTCCTGTATTAAATTTTCCTAAGTTTATTGCGAACAGTTATTTTCCTCTTACATAACCAACTGTTCCCGATACTTACTCACAGAAAACGCGTATCGTGATCTCATGGTGTTTGATTGACTGCAGTACATCGGGGATTTGTTTGGGACGCTGCAAAGCACTGCAATCTACTCGAGACGCAAATATTGACGCTAGTCTGCTGCAGACTTCATGTGAGTCGTGTGTAGATGTTTAAGTTCCTAAGGCTGTTGGTTTCGTGAGAAAAATACCGGGGCCCGAAGGAAAATCTGAGCGAAACTCACAGACAGACAAACAAACAGCACGAGCAGACCATCGCAGGAACAAATAGTGTAGCGTGCATAGGACTTACTGCACCACAAGAAACTGGACCAAAGAACATAATGAGATGAATAATTTATTCTCTTCATTAAATATTAATAAGTCGACCAAATTATCGAGTGTGAGATGGGATGGGAATGTAGCACACGCGTGAATTATAATAAATACTCCTCCCCCAATATTGTCAGGATGATTAAGTAGAGCAGAATGAGATGGGCGGGGTATGTGGCGCGCATGGATGGGATAGAATTATGCACCGGGTATTGGTCGGGAAGCCTGAAGGGAAGAGACCGCTGGGGAGACCTAGACGTAGATGGAAGGATAATCTCATTCGGGATCTATCGGAGATAGGATTTGAAGGAGACTGTATTTTGTTGGCCCAGGACAGGGTCCGGTGGAGGGCTTTGGTTAATTCGGTGATGAACCTTCGGGTTCGGTAAGCCATCTAGTTAGTTAGTTAGTTAGTATATATTTTAGCCGGGTAACATGAAGGGAATATGCAGATTGAAAAATAATATTAAAATAATTCTTAAACCAGTCTTAAAGAAATGTAATATAACTGGATGTATTGGATTCATCTGGCTTACGAAGGGAGCAGTAGCTGGCTTATCTGAACACACTAATTGTCATTCGAATTCCATAATAGGTGCCGGATTTCTTTAACTGGGCAAATATCAACATGGAGCACGACTCAGCTACATGTTAGGAAATAAACGGATTCAAACCCGAGATGTAAGGCGTGAGTAATGCAGCTACGCTAAATGAAATCCTTTAGCAATACAATATTGCGCCATCACAGACATACCACGGAATGTTGTTTTCTATTCCTTATCGCTAATATCCGACAACCGTCCCAGTACCTAATAGCAATGTGAGGTTTCGGAAGATGAGCGCACAACATGTCTTTTCTGCTGCTTTACGCCCTCCCTCCCCTCAAACCTCGCATCTTTGTTGTTCCCATCCTCCCCACGAAGAATAGCTTCTCTGTGGCCGCGCAAGGTAAAGCTGGATTTACACTGCGTGTTCGGACTCTTGAATATGTTTGCATGAACTGCATAAAATAAAAACTTAATGCGGAGGTCACGTTCGTCCATGTTGCATCTTCAAAACTACTGAAGGGACGTTCATTACATCTGAAACAGCTGTATAACATTTGTCGAACGAATTTAAATTTGTTTCTTAGCGATTCAATAACAGATAGGTGCATCTTACGTGAAGCTCAATAAAACTTGATTAATATGTTTCAGTAATGGTTCGTCGCACAAAATGGTGGTTTGTTACATCAAATACAGAGTTAGTCTAAACTTGTAAATTATTTTTGAACCAGTTTCTAATATATGTAAAATTATATCGCCTATAAGCAAATCTCTATTTTTCGTATCCGGTCGTGAGACTACCAGTACCATTGTTACATGCTTTTACTCCATTCCTTTAAAGAAACGAAGGGCCAGGACAGGCCTTGAATAGATCTAATTCAAGTGGTCGAATTAGCACGAAACGTTCCCCGTTAGCTGTTGCCGGAAACACAACTAGTTTCGGAAATATATTTAAAAAACTTATGACAATGAAAATTTCCAAAATAATTATTATAATGATGACAACAGACCACTGTCAAAACATGTACAGTCCTCGTTATGCAGTTTTCTCCATCCT